ATTCCATGTCATTGCTATTGTGAATAAAACTGCAATGAACATTTGCGTACATGTATCTTTATGGTAGAATGATTTACATTCCTTTGGGTATACACTCAGTAATGTGATTGCTGGGTTGAATGGTAATCTTGCTATTAGCTCTTTAAGGAATTACCATACTGCTTTCCATAATGGTTAAATTAATTTCACTCCAACCAACAGTGTATAAACATTCTCTTTTCTTTGCAACCTCATAGCATCTGTTGTTTTTTGACTTTTACTTTTTAAATTTGGATTTATCTAAAAATATTTTTTTCTGAGACGGAGTCTCACTCTGTCAGACTGGAGTGACAGTGGTGCGATCTTGGCTCATTACAACCTCCGCCTCCCGGGTTCAAGAGATTCTCCTGTCTCAGACTCCCGAGTAGCTAGGACTACAGGTACATGCCATCATGCCCAGCTATTTTTATTTTTTGAGCCAAAGTCTCCTTCTGTTGCTCAGTTTGGAGTGTAATGGCACTATCTCGGCTCACTGCAACCTCTGCCTCCCGAGTTCAAGTGATTCTCCTGCCTCGGCCTCTCAAGTAGCTGGGATTACAAGTTCCTGTCACTATGTCTGCCTCATTTTTGCATGTTTAGTAGAGACAGGGTTTTAGCATGTTGGCCAGGCTGGTCTCGAACTCCTGACCTCGGGTGATCCACTTGCCTCAGCCTCCCAAAGTGCTGGGATTACAGGCGTGAGCCAATGTGCCTGGCCTCATTTTTGTATTTTTAGTAGAGATAGGGTTTTGGCATATTGGGCAGGCTGATCTGAAACACTTGACCTCAGGTGATCCACCGGCCTCTGCCTCCCAAAGTGTTGGGATTACAGGCATCAGCCACTGTGCCCAGCCTTGACTTTTTATTAATAGCCATTCTGGCTGATGTGAGATAGTATCTGATTGTGCTTTTGATTTGTATTTCTCTAGTAATCAATGACACTGAGCTTTTTTTATATGCTTGTTGACTGCATGTATGTCTTCTTCAGAAAAGTGTCTGTTCATGTCCTTTGCTCACTTTTTAATGGAGTTCTTTGTTTTCTCTTGTAAATTTGTTTAAGAGATGCTGGATATTGAAACTTTGTCAGATGCATAGCTTGCGAAGCAAATATTTTCTCCCATTCTGTAGGATGTCTGCTGTGCAGAAGCTCTGAAGTTTAATTAGATTCCATTTGTCAATTTTTCTTTTTGTTGCAATTGTTTTTGGTGTCTGTAATGAAATCTTTGCCCATTTCTATGTACAGGATAGTATTGCCTAGGTTGTCTTCCAGGCAACTGGGGTTTTTAGAGTTTTGGGTTTTACATTTAAGTCTTTAATCTATCTTAAGTTGATTTTTGTATATGGTATAAGGAAGGGGTCCAGTTTTGATCTTCTGCATATAGCTAGCCAGTTATCCCAGCACCATTTATTTTACAGGGAGTCTTTTCCCCATTACTTGTTTTTGTCAGCTTCATAAAAATCAGATGGTTGTAGATGTGCAGCCTTATTGCTGGGCTCTTTATTCTGTTCCATTGGTTTATGTGTCTGTTTTTGTATCAGCACCATGCTGTTTTGGTTACTGTTGCCCTGTAGTGTAGTTTGAAGTCAGGTAACATAATCACCCCAGCTTAGGATTGCCTTGACTATTTGTGCTCTTTTTGGTTCCATATGAATTTTAAAATAGTTTTTCCTAGTTCTGTGAAGAATGTCATTAGTAGTTTATAGGAATAATATTGGATCTATAAATTGCTTTGGACATTATAGCCATTTTAATGATATTGATTCTTCCTATCCATTACCATGGGATGTTTTTCTACTTGTATCATTTCTGATTTCTTTAAGCAGTGGTTTGTAGTTCTTGTAGGTATTTTTCACCTCCCTGGTTAGCTGTATGCCTAGGTATTTTATTCTTTTTTTGGCAACTGTTAATGAGATTGCATTCATGATTTGGCATTCAGTTTGGCTGTTGTTGGTATACATGAATGCTAGTGAGTTTTGTACATTGATTTTGTATTCTGAGACTTTGCTAAAGTTGTTTATCAGCTGAAGGACTTTTGCGCTGAGATTATGGGGTTTTCTAGATTTAGAATTATGTAATCAGTGAACAGGGATAGTTTGAATTCCTCCTTCCCTATTTGGATGTCCTTCTCTTTCTCCTTCCTTATTGCTGTGGCCAGGACTTTCAATACTATATTGAATAGGAGTGATGAGAGAGGACCTCCTTGTCTTGTGCCAGTTTTCAAGGGAAATAATTCCAGCCTTTGCCCGTCCACTATGATGTTGGCTGTGAGTTAGTCATGGATGGCTCTCATTATTTTGAGATATGTTCATTCAATACCTAGTTTATTGAGAGTTTTTATCATGAAGGATGTTGAATTTTATTTAAAATCTTTTCTGCATCTATTGAGATAATCATGTGCTTTATGTCTTTAGTTCTGTTTATGTGATGAATCACATTTATTGATTTGCATATGTTGAACCAGCCTTGCATGCTGGGGTTGAAGCCTACCTCTTCATGGTAAATTAGCTTTCTGATGTGCTACTGGACTCAGTTTGCAAGTATTTTGTTGATGGTTTTTGCATTGGTATTCATCAAGGATATTGGCCTGAAGTATTTTTGTGTGTGTGTGTGAGTGTCTGCCAGGTTTTGATAACCTTATAGAATGAGTTGAGGAGGAGTCCCTCCTCCTCAATTTTTTGGAATAGTATCAATAAGAATGGTGCCAGAATTCAGAATGCTATTCTTTGTATCTAGTAGAATTCAGCTGTAATTCTCTCTCATCCTGGGCTTTTTTTGTTTGTTTGTTTGGTAGGCTATTTATTACTGATTCAATTTTGGAGCTCATTCTTGTTCTGTTCAGGGAATAATTTTTTTCTGGTTCAGTCCTGGGAGGGTGTTTGTGTGCAGGAATTAATCCATTTCTTCTAGGTGTTTTAGTTTCTGTGCATAGAGGTGTTCATACTAGTTTGTGATGGTTATTTTTATTTCTGTGGGATCAGTGGTAATGTTCCCCTTGTCATTTCTAACTATGCTTATTTGGATCTTCTCTTTTTTTATTAGTCTAGTTTGTGGTCTCTCATAGTATTTTTTGAAAAACAAATTCTTGGATTCATTCATCTTTTGAATTGTTTTTAGTGTATTGATTTCCTTCAATTCAGCTCTGATTTCAGTGATTTCTTGTCTTCTGCTAGCTTTGGGGTTGGCTTGCTCTTGCTTCTCTTATTCTTTCCATTGTGATGTGAGGTTGTTAATTTGAGATGTTTCTATTTTTTTGATGTGGGCATTTAGTGTGATGAATTTCCCTCTTAACATGGCCTTAGCTTCATCTCACAGATTCTGGTATACTGTATCTTTGTTCTCATTAGTTTCAAAGACCTTCTTGATTTCTGCCTTAATTTTATTATTTACCCAAAAGTCATTCAGGATCAGGTTGTTCAATATCCATGTAACTGCATGGATTTGAACATTTTTGTCAGTCTTGATTTCTGTTTTTAATATGCTTTGATCTGAGAGTGTGTTTGGTATAATTTCAGTTCTTTTGCATTTGCTGAAGATTGTTTTATGTCCAATTATGTGGTTGATTTTAGAGTATGTGCTATGCGACAATGAAAGGAATGTATATTCTGTTGTTTTTGAGTGGAGAGTTCTGTAGAAGTCTATCAGGTCCATTTGATCCAATGTTGAGCTCAGGTCCTGAATGTCTTTGTTAGTTTTCCACCTTGATAATCTGTCTAATACTGTCACTGAAGGTTGAAGTCTCCCGCTATTGTTGTGTGGGATTCTAAGTCTCTTTGTAAGTCTCTAAGAACTTGCTTTGTGAATCGGAGTGCTCCTGTGTTGGTTGCATATATATTTAGGTTAGTTAAGTCTTCTTGTTGAAGTGAACCCTTTACCATTATGTGATACTCTTCTCTTTTTTGATCTTTGTTGGTTAAAGTCTGTTTTGTCTGAAGTTAGGATTGCAACTCCTGCTTTTTCTGATTTCCATTTGCTTGGTAGATTTTCCTCCATCCCTTTATTTTGGGCCTATTGGTGTCACTACTTGTGAGATGGGTCTCGTGAAGACAGCATACCATTGAGTCTTGCTTTTTCATCTATGTTGTCACTCTGTGCTTTTTAAGTGGGGCATTTAGCCTATTTACATTCAAGGTTAGCATTGATATATGTGGATTTGATCTTGTCATTGTGTTGTTAACTGGTTATTTTGCTGGCTTGTTTGTGTGGTTGCTTTATATTGTCACTAGTTTGTGTATTTAAGTGTGGTTTTTTTATTATTATTATTGATTGAGGTACAGTTTATTTGTGTATGCTTATATATTTCCAAAAATTAATTCAATGTCCTCTTACAGTAATCAAAATTAGTTAACAGGGCAGGCACGGTGGTTCACACCTGTAATCCCAACACTTTGGGAAGCCGAGTTTGGGGTTAGGAGTGAGACCAGCCCGGCCAACATGATGAAACTCTACTGAAAGTACAAAATCAGCCGGGCATGGTGGTGCACGTCTGTAATCCCAGCTCCTTAGGAGGCTGAGGCAGGAAAATTGTTTGAACCTAGGAGGCGGAGGCTGCAGTGAGCTGAGATTGTGCCACTGCACTCCAGCCTCAGCAACACAGCAAAGCTCTATCTCAAAAAAAATTAGTTAACAGTCTGAGATGAACTATTTTAGCAAGGAAACACATTTAACCAAATATGGAAATAAACTGGAACCTTTCAGTTATTGCTTCAATACGGGAATGTTTCACAAAAATTGTCTGTTTCTTCAATAAATACTAAGATTCTTTTGTCCTAGAGAGCATTTCTGTATTTTGAGTTAATAATCTCATTGCTCTCTTTATAAAATAAAAATAAACAATGTATCTATAAGGCTTAGTTTGCAATTTTCCACTGCATAATTTATTCACATTTAAAACTATATTTTTTATAGTTATATGTCAAAAAATAGTGACTAGGTTTTATGGCTTAAAATATAAATGAGGAAAACAGACATTTGCCATACAAATGGCTGGTTTTAATTTTTTTAGAAGAAATACTATAATTTTAAAAAAAGAGCTCCAAAATATTTAACAGAATTTCCAGCAATGATTATTTCTAAAATGTAAAGATTTGAAACATAATTTATACAAAACTAAAAAACAGAAGGATTCATTCTTGCTTTTTCCTTTTTTAAAAAATCCAGACAATTTGTCACAAGAAAGTTCGGCATGCGATAGCAGCTGTAGCCTCAGTCACCCTCGGAACCGCTGCCCCTCCTCACGGGGACAGAGCACCGCACTGAGGACTGCAACACGTCTTCAATCGGCTTCTTAGGGTTTTCCTCCAGGTCCGTCATAATTGCGCCAGATTCAGACAGTTTCCATTCCAATTCATCTCTTGTCAGGTTCATGCCGCCAAACACCAGAGGACCAATAAACTGAGCCTTGATATCTCCTTCCAGGTAAACAAATATGGTGGGCAGATTCCTATCCGGATAATTGGGTATGCAGGTTATTGAAATGGCTTTGATAAATTTGACATCAGGAAACTTCCTGGCAAGTCCACTGAGGTGCTGATTTATCAGGGCACAGAGGGGAATTCCTTGTTTGTAAAGGTGCAAGACGACCCACAAGCCCTCACCAGATTTGGTAACTTCTTGAACATAATCCTTCCCTGAGATCTCTAAAACTTCTCCAAATTTATTCTTCAGTTTAGTTGCTTTCCACTCAGCCAGTCTCTGCCATCTGTACATTTCAATAGCACGTTCATCCTCCTCATTAAACTCATCTTCATGATCCTCCAGCTCTTCCAAAGTCATATCTTCATATGTTTCACCACTGACTGCTGGAGGATGTGCTGCTCCTCATCTGACTCCTCTTCCAGTTCTTTCAGACTTTCCTTGGGGGGTAAGATACCCTTTTTGTGTAAGATGTCATTCCACTCAATGTCTACGTTGGGGTCCTGCATCTTGTTTCCAGTTGCTCAAGCCAGCTGTAAGTGTGTTTTTTTTATTTGTCATTAGTAGTCTTTCTTTTCTATATTTAGTGCTCCTTTCAAGATCCCTTGTAAGGCAGGTCTGGTGGTAATGAGATTCCTCAACATTTGCTTATCTAAAATGGATCTTATTTTTCCTTTGCTTAGTTTGACTGGATATGAAAAAAAGCTTAGTTTGACTGGATATGAAATTCTTGGTTGAAGATATTTTTCTATAAGGATGTTGAATAAAGGCCCTCAATCTCTTCTGGCTTATAGGGGTTCAACTGAGAGGTCCACCGTTAGCCTTATGGAGTTCCCTTTGTAGGTGACCTGCCCTTTCTCTATAGCTGCTTTTAACATTCTTTCTTTTATTTTGACCTTAGAAAATCTGATGATTATGTGTCTTCGGATTGATATTCTTGGTAAAATCTCATAGGGGTTCTTTGTATATCTTGAATTTGACTGCTGGCCTCTCAACCAAGATTGGAGAAGTTTTCATGGATGATATCCTGAACTATGTTTTCCAAGTTGTTTGCTTTCTCCCTATCCCTTTCAGGGATGCCAATGATTCATAGATTTGGCCTCTTTACATAATCCCATACTTCTCAGAAGCTTTGTTCATTCCTCTTTATTCTTTTTTCATTATTTTTGTCTGACTGTCTTATTTTAGAAAGTCAGTCTTCAAGTTCTGAGATCCTTTCCTCAGCTTGATCTATTCTGCTGCTAATACTTGTGATTGCATTGTGAAATTTTTGTAGTGTTGTTTTTCAGCTCTGTCAGATTCATTAGGTTCTTTTTTATACTGGCTGTTTTGTCTTTCAGCTTCTGTATCATTTTGTTGTCATTCTTAGTTTCCTTGGATTGGGTTATGCCATTCTCCTGAATCTTGATAATCTTCATTCCTATCCATATTCTTAATTCTATTCCTGAATTTAATAGAATTCAGAATTCAGAATTCAGAATGCATAACCAGCCAGCTCATCCTGGTTAAGAATCCTTGATGGTGAACTGGTGCAGTCGTTTGGAGGACATAAATACTCTTGCCATTTGAGTTACTGGAGTTCTTGTATTGGTTCTTTCTCACCTCTGTATCTGGGTGTTCCTTTAACTGCTATTAGATTTAGTAGTCAATCGACTTATTTTCTGGATGTTTTCACAGGGCCAAGTCTTTGTGTAGGGTCATTTGTAGCTGACTTCTTGTGTTTGTTTTCACAGGAAGGTATGCTGGTGAGGTGTTTTTGGTGTTAAAGCTTTGGAGTGTGGTCTAGTAGGTGGTACTTAGGCATACTGGTCAGTTGCTAGGCTCTTGCTTGGTCATGGGGGTCTCCTGTATTTCCTCATAGTTGCAGCTGTGCTCTCTCTCAATGCTTGGAAAATAGGAACTCCTCTCCCACTTGAGTGTTGGCTATAGATCACAGCTTGGCATTCCTGGGGTGTCCACCACAGCTCTGGGGTGATGTCAGGGTTTATGTTTCTTCCCCAGCTTGGAGGCAGCTGAGAAAGGGACCTTAGTAATGGTATGGTAATGGGTCTCTTGTTTTTCTTCTGGGGACTTCACTCCAGAGAGATGCAAGTCAGTAATTGCTCAGTGCAATCAGTACTGAGGGGTCTGTTCTGTGCTCAGTGCAATCAGCACTGAGCATGGTGGGTCTGTGCTGTGGGCCCAAGCCAGGGGTTCCCTGTCTGGTGATGAGCCAGAAGTGGGGTGCCCATGGGAGATGGACTAGCCTCCTCTTCTTGGGTTGACTGCAGCTTGTCTGAGGTATAGAGAAGGCTCTTACAGTCTTTGTTCCTTCTTTAGTCTCAGGGTGGAAAGGGCAGTTCCACTGCAGAGGCAGTGGCAGAGAGGCTTTCAGTTGTCCACAAGGGCTTCACCTCCAGGAAATGTGAAGCCATTCTTAGTTGGGGTGTTCAGCCAGTGGGGTGGGATGACTGCATTGCTGGAATGAGTGGGGGTTCCACTTGTTGGGGTGTAGGGGGTCTAAGGCTCACAGGGAGGAGAAATCAATCTCCTCTTTATATGGCAGTGATAGTATGCTATAAGCAGCATGACTGTAGCCTTCAGGCTCTTTGTTTCTTCCCCAGACCAAGGACAGGAGGGACAGAACTCTTACTGTGGCAGTGGCAGAAGGGCTGTTGTATGCCTCTGGGAATCTCTCCCTGGGGAAACTCTAGTCCACTACCAGTGGGTATGCTTAGCCATTGGTGGGGTAACTGTCCTATGTTCCTGAGGCCAGGGGCCCTGCCTGGTGAAGAGTGGGGCTGAGGGTTCCCCCAGAAAAGAGGAGCCGGTCTCCTCTCTGTATGGTCGCTGCAGTGTGCTGGAAGTGCCCTTTGTTCCTTCCCAGTCTAAGGGCTGTTAGGGCTCTACCACTGCAACTGTAGTGGCGGAGGGGTTCTGGGTTGACTCTGGGATTTCCTCCTCAGAGAAATTCTGGACTGTCCCTGATTGTGGTGATCAGGTGGGGGCAAGGTGGTTGTGCTGGAGTCCCAGGTCAGGTGATCCTGCCAAGTTAGGAGCAGCAAGTACCAGGATCTGTGTGGAGAATAGTCTGGCCATTTTTCTGTGAAGTAGTTGCTCTCTGCTGTGGGTCTGGACCAGCTCCTGGCCCTCATAGACTTTCCCAAGCCTGGAGACAGCAAGGGCAAGGGCTGAAAGACAGCAAAGATGGCAACCTACTTCTCCCACTGAGAGCTCTGTCTAGGGAGTTGCAGAGCTGCTCCTGGCTTGATAGCCCTAGTGGGGGTGACTGGAGACCCAGGTCTGGATGACTCACCCAGTGAGGAGATATGGAAATGGGCACCCACATAAAAGTCTGGCCACCTTTTTGTAGGACTGCTGTGGTATGATGGGGGTCCACTTCAGTCCCTAGTCACCTCTGATTTTCCAATACATGGAGGTATCAACAATGAAGCCTGCAATACAAAAAACATGGCAGCCTGTCCCTCCCTCTAGAAGCTCCATCCCAGGGAGACAGACACCTTTTGCTGGCCCAAATGCATTGTAGAAGGTGGTTGGAGACCAAGTCAGGAGGCCTGTGCGGAGGAATGGGATGGGGAGCTGCTTAAAACAGTAATCTGGCCACATTTTTGTAGAGAAGCTGTTCTGTGCTAGGAGTCTGCTCAGTCCCCGGTTGCCTCAGGCTCTTCAAAGCCCAAAGACAAGAATAGCTGAGTCAGCCAAATAGCAAAAATGGTGACCTGCCCCTGCCTCTGGGAACTCCGTCTCAGGAAGGTTCAAAACCTCTGTTGGCCAGAAAACCCTGGCAGGGGTAACTGGAGACCTGAGTTGGGAAATCGCACCCAGTGAGGAGGAACAGGGTCGAGGCCCTTTTAGAGAGCAGTCTGCCCATGTTTTCTTAGAGCAGCTGTGCTGTGCGGGGGAGTCCCGGTCACCTTGGACTCTCCAAAGACTGAAAACAAGAATAACTGAGTCAGCCAAATAGCAGCGATGGCAGCCCACCACCCTCCGGGAGCTCCATCCCAGGGAGGTTTGAAACCTGTGTTGGCCGAAAGACACTGGCGGAATGGCTGGAGACCCCATCAGAAGATTTCACCCAGTGAGGAGAAACAGAATTCAGGATCCATGTGAATAAACAATCTGGCCACTTCTCGGCAGAGCTGCTGTGCTGTGGTGGGGGACTTCTCCAGTCCCTTGTTGCCTCGGACTTGCTAGAGCCCTAAGGCAATTGTGGCTGAGGCTGTGAAACAGCAAAGATGGTGGCCCACTCTTCCCCTGGAAACTGTCTCAGGGAGGTGTAATGCTGCCACTGGAGGCTGACTAGGGTTCCAAGCCAGTGGGTTTTATCCTGGGAGGCGCCATGGAAGTGGGGTCTGCAGCTTGTTGCTGCTTATCCCGCTGGATTCAATCCCTTTCCCAGGGATATGCACAGGGTTCTAACCTCTCTCTTTGCCAGAGTTGCAGCTGCTTTTGCAGGGAAGCCCAGGTCTCTAAGGCTCCACGTCTGCCTGAGTGACTGCTCTGCTGAGACTTCAGGTAGCTCTGTATGTCAGACTGAAAGCCCTAGTAGAGTGGGTTCATGAGGGGATCTCCTGACCTGAGGGTTGCAAAGATCCATGGGAGAAGTGTGAGTCCCCAGACTGGCTCATTCACTCAGTTTCCCTGGCTCCGTGTTGCTTCTGGGTGGACAATCGTTCTGCCTTGCTTTTTCTCTGTTCTCCATGGGTCAAATTGTTTCCTTTATTAGTTCCGATGCATGTACCCGGATGTTTCAGTTGAAGGTGCTGTATTTACTTTCCCCTTCCCTTCCTCTCGGTGAGAGCCACACGTATTAGCTGCTCCTAGTCTGCCATCTTGACCAGCACCGCGGATGATAATCCTAATAGCTCCTTGGTTTGTTGTGGACAGCAAGCAAATTAATTCATGAAGTAGACTGCAGCCTGGCACAGACTAAATTAAATATAGGTCAGCTATTATTCTGATTATTATAGCTCTTTTTACAAAGATGAGTGATTGTAAATAATGCAAATGTCCAACAATGAGAAGTAGCGCCAGAAAACCATGCAGTGGAATACTATTCAGCAAGATTCGCACATTATTGCAGAACTGCATTTAGTGACACAAAGGGATGTTGTGTTATGGTTTTGAATAAAAACATGAGTCTAGTTAAGAAAAAAAATCAAGCTTGAAGTTATAAATCTGTTCTTATATTGCTCTAAAGAAACACCTAAAGCTGGGTAATTTATAAATAAAAGAGGGTAACTGCTTCACAGTTCTGCAGGCTTGTACAGGAAGCATAGTGCCAGCTTCTGCTTGGTTTCTGGTGAAGCATCAGGGAGCTTACAATCATGGCAGAAGGCAAGGGGGGAGCTGGAGTCTCACATGGCAAGAATAGAAGCAAGAGAGAGAGTGGGGGTGGAAGGTCCCACACACTTAAACAACCAGATCTCACATGAACTCGCTCATCACCAAGGGGATAGCCCTAAGCCATTCATGAGGGATCCACCCGTGTGATGCAAACGCCTCCTGCCAGGCCCGACCTTCAACACTGGGGATTACAGGTCAACATG